TTTTTTTTTTTTTTTTTTTTTTTTTTTTTTGGTACCGGGGATCGAACTAGGGTCCTTGCGATTGCAAGGCAGGCCGCGGAACCACTGAGCTATATCCCTGGCCCTACCTTGTTTTTGATAACCTTGACAGTTTTGAGTTTTGGTCAGGTATTTTAATTTGGGTGTGTCTGCTGTTTTACTCTAGTGCTATGGTTTTTTGGGAGGATGACCCTAAGGTGAAGTGCTATTCTCATTACATCAAGTGTGCATGCAATCAATGTGACTTATCATTGATGATGTTAACCTTGATCAGAGGTACTATAGTAATGTTTGACTGGCTCCTTCAGCCTAAAGTTACTTTTTCTTCCTCATATGAGTCAGCTAATTTTCATAGACTTGAGTTTTAGAGTTTGACATAGGGTCTTGCTATGTGGCCCTGGCTTGTCATAAACTCCCAGATTCAAGTGACTGGCTTCATGTCAGCCTCTTGGGTAGCTGAGAATTTGGGCACATGCCACTATGTGTGGTGTACAGAACTGAGCTTTTTCTTTTAGCCTAATCAGATCATGCAGTCTAACTTGTCAGCTCACACTCTGATACTCTGAGACAATTAGAAGACAGGGCAAAAGAACATGGCCTAGGGCAGTGGTGGTGAACCTACAGCATGTTTGCCTTAGCAGCTCTTTGTATCACTGAAAGCTCTAAAGGGTTCACCAACATTGGCCTAGGGCAAACCTTTTATTTTTAGAACAAACTGCAACTCAAAGCACAGGATCTCATATTACTGTACTAGTTTCCTATTGCTGCTATAACAAATTACCACAAACTTAATAGCTTAAAATACAGAGAGATGTGGAGCTAAAAAATAAGGACCAGCAAGTCTGCATATTAAAGTGCCCCCTACCAGGTCCCAAATGCCTGCAGTCAGCTTACACTTCTATTTATCTGACAGCTATCTAGGTTAGAATATACAATAAGTCACACTTAGCTAAAACCAAGGTGTCAGCAAGGTTGCCTGGAGGTGCTACAGCTATAGGACAGATGACTTCCTGGACTTTTCCAGCATCTTGCAGCTGCTGCATTCCTTGGTTTGTGGTCCCCCTTGATCTTCAAAGACAGCAATGGCTGATCAACTCTTTCTCACAGTTCATCGCTTTTCCACATTTAAGGACCCTTATACTAGACCCATATGAATAATCCCCTCATCCCAAGATCCTTAATCACACCCTTGGTAACAAAGGTTCTGGGGATTGGCATATAGACATTTTTTTGGGAGGTATTGTTTTGCCTACCGTGGTACCCAATAGTTTTATCTCTACAAAGGAGCGCATCTCTCAAACAGCTGACCCTCATAAGCACACTTATTTTTCCTTGAAAACAGCCTTTGGAATACTGTGTAAATTATAAAGATGATTATAATATGGTTATTGTAACATGATTCTTTCTCTTACCATGCATCCAAACATAGGTATAAGGAATTAATAAAGAAATTTTTACTAAGAAAAACATGAGAAGGCAATTTAATCACCTGATCCTCTGCTCTCACAGTCAGAGTGTCCTGGTTAAGAAGATGTGTTACTCGCTTGACATCAAGTTGTAGAAATTCATCGGTTTTGTAAACTTCAGTAAAATGCTGATGAATAAAGTCATCTGCTGTTGCTTTCAATTCAGGACAATCCAGACACTCTGCAAGCACACTTATACCTAAACACAGAAAGAAAAGAACACAAAATTGCTTTTAGAAAAACCAAATATGCATTAAAGATAAAGCAAGACTTCAGAGAAGTTGAATAATCTGGATCCTTTTCTGTTCCAAAAATTTGTCTATTTTTCTGTGTGTATGGGAGGGTAGCAGGGATCAAACTCAGCCTACTGCCAGGTAGGTACAGTGACACTGAGCTAAATCCCAGGTCCCACAATTTGTCTATTCTTATGGAAATACTAGACTTCTGTTTACTAGTTTTGATATTGTGTAATGCAAGCCCCCCTCAATGTTTTTCAAACATTTCTTGGCCACTGTTACACATTTTCTCTTGCAAATACATTTTGAAATAAGCATTAGCTTTAAAAATCCGGATACACTTTTAATTAGGATTACAGAGAACTTCTGGACTCCTATAGGGACGTTTTTTGACTTTTTTTTTTAACTTTACAATGCGCAGAAGCTCCGTTTAAGAACATAATATATGTGAGTATGGTGGTGCATGTCTGTAATCCCAGCACTTTGGGAAACTAAGGCAGGAAGAAGTTCGAACTCAGCCTAGGTGACTTAGTGAGAACTTGTCTCAAAATAAAAAATAGAAGAGCTAGAAATTTAGCTCAGTGCAAAGGTCCTGGGTTTAATCCCTAGTAATATATACAACACACACACACACACACACACACAAACAGATGTGATATATATAAAATTTACTAAGACATACATTCATATTTAGATTTTAAAATGATCTTCAATGTGAATACATAATTCGCTTCATCTAAGTCCTGTATCAGTGGTGGTGAAACTATGGTATGCATACCACAGTGGACTATTTTTATCAACTCAAAGCTCTAAAAGGCTCACCATCACTGCCTGATATATTTCCCACTCAGCCTTTCCCTAGTTATTTTACGTTTGGGAGGAAGTTTTGCCCCTAATTGGCTACTTATGTTCCATATGAACAGTCTGCAAAGTACTGTCCATGGGCCAAATCTTCAGCCTTCATTATGTTTTTTTCCTAGGCCCAGCAGTTAAGACTTTTTTTCAATATTTTAAAATGGCTGTCAAAAACAACAAAACATAACAAATCAGGAAGTGAAGACAGGAATGAGGAAAAGGTTAAAATAAGACAAGGATCACATGTGGCCCACAAAGCCTAAATTTTTACTATGTAGCCCTTTACAGAAAAACCTTGGCAACTCTTCTATATAAAACTAATTATTTTTGTACATGACATTGTAGCAGACCACTTTTCTAAGTATAAAAGCTGGCTTTAATGTTTCACATTTGTATTATTTTATTTATTTTGGTACTGGGGATTGAACTCAGGCCATTGCGCTTGCCAGGCAGGTGCAGTGCCACTGAGCTAAATCCCGGCCCTATTACTTAATTTTTAAAAACATCAAAACAGGTAATGAGCCAAGTATGAAGATGCAATTCCAGTACTCTTGGGAGGCTGAGGCAGAAGGATCACAAGTTTGAGGCCAAACAGGCAACTAAGCTGGATTTTCTCTCAAAAAATAAATAAAGGGCTGGGTATGTAACTCAAGTGTGAAGGCCCCCAATTCAATCCCGGTATCATTAGAAAAAGAAAAAAAGGGAGGGGTAATAAAATTATAAAAGTGCCTTCAACATCCGTTTCTATGATTCTGCGTATTTGTTTCCTCTACAGAAAATTTACTTGTTAGTAAATTATGAGATTTCTTGACATTGATGCGTTCAAAACATATAACATTTCTGAGTAAACCAAGTATTATTTTAATTAATGAGCTTTATGTTTTGAGAGTGGTTCTAGGTTTACTGTAGGTAGTACAATTGGGGGAATGGGACCATACCCTATCCACTCACCTAAACTCAGGCAATGCCCCAAAGCCAAGGCATTCAACCTTTGTCCTAGGGAGAAGAAACAAGAATAACAAAGTTCCTTGGCACTTTTGACATTCCTAAAATTTTAGTCCAGACGCCTGAGTGCTAGACCAGCCATGCATATAGTGCCCACACCACTTTTTTCCTTCTTACCTGGGCCATTTTCCTTTCCATTGGCATGAGAATTGCTAGTTTTAAGCATTAATTTCACCCTTTAAACTTTATTAAACTTTGCTGCTTTTTCCATACTATTATATACAACATCTAGTTCTTTGTTACTGCATACAAGAATATGGAAACCAGTCCAGGAACCATGTTACCCATGGTAACATCTTGGTGAACCAGCCAGGAAATAAAAAAGTGGCATGGAGACCATGGACACTTTGACTCTGACAAAGGCTTTCCATTTCTTTCTTTTCTTTCTCCCTGTCTTAAATCCTAATGTTTTTCTGACTTTAGTTATCAGAGAGGCAGGAAGTGCAGGGTAGAGGAGCCTACAGTGTACCCATCACCATGTGTTGGGGGGAGGGGAAGCATGTGGTCTCCATGTTTCTGCAGCCAGTAAGACAAGCTCACAGGTCTTTGGGAAGAGCGCTGATCCAGCCTGTCTCAGCTATGTACCACAACATTCCAGGTTCCTAGGGTTGCTTCTCGAACCCCACCTCTAGTTTTCTTTCTGGGGCCTTTTGGGGTTGCTTCTTTAATACTAGCTGTCTTCTGCTCTCCAACCTACTTGGTTCCATTATTATGATGATAATTTTGGCCTCATTTATTTTCCTAAAATTATGTATAACCTGTGGCTATTAAATGATTTTTCATTGTGAAGCTTTAATTTACCAGGAAATTCATGTTCTTTTGTGGCATTAGCTAGCAAAAATGTAGGGAGCTGGTGACAAAAGGCGTAGTAGAGAAGGGTGAGTGTCTAAACAGAATCTCAAGTTTTAAAGCTAGGTCCTACCTGAGCTACTGGCAGCAGTAAAGTCCTAAATCCCAACTCTCTTAGGCTAACTGCAGCTGAGATAACCCTCCCAAGTTTGATTCTTTTTCTCTAGGGACATGTCCTATCCCCAGTTCTTAAGACTGCCACCCAACAATTCCTCACTCATTAGACTTTCCTCGGCCCCTTTGCAAGTGAGCAAACTCTACCTGCCTTACTTTCCCAGATAATGGGGCACAGTTAAAGATTAGTTGTTGTGCCAGGGATGTAGCTCAGTGGAAACATGCCTATCCCTGGTATGGGGGATAGGGGTGCACGACTGGTTGTCAAACGCACTCACCTCTGTCAGCCAGGGTCCCCAAGAGGCACCTATGCAGGAAAACTTTCACATGGAGGTTTCTCAGCAGGGAAATGCTTACTACTCTTCCTTAGACAAGCATACTGTGATGTCAGGTGATTTTATAACTGGCTAGAGGTACCCAGCCAATAGGGCATTCCAGTTCTGGACCTCCATCTGGGAGACAGGTTGTGGCCAAAGGAGAAGATTCAAAGGTCCAAAGGAAGTGGCACTAGTTCCCATGTGAGGCTAGAGACGTCTAGCAACTGAATCCCAAGGAGTTCAGCTTTTCCAGAGGACACTGCAGCTCAACAGGTCAGGGCCTGACTCAGGATGCCCTGTAAGGTTCCTTGTGGGGACTGATGCAGGGAATGCTCTGTAAGGTTCCCATGACTTAAACCCAAGGAGTTAGGCTTTTCCAGGATGTCCTGGAGGACAGGTCAGGAACTGACTTAGGACATGACCATAAGGTTCCCATGACTTAATTCTTACTCTTCCTGCCCACCAACCCATCATGGGTTCCACCTGACTCCCTAGAGTTGGAGAAAATGGTCAGAGGTGCCTTGTGACCAAACTTTCATGGCCCTCTACCAACGCCCCCCTCAATAGCTGATGCTGCTGATGACTTCCTCTTGTCAGCAACACCCCGCATACAGCAACATAAATGATCTATTCCTTGGAAGCTTTGTAGAATTAACCTATAACATCATCAAGCCTGGAAGCATTAATTGGGAACACATTTTTACCTTCTGCATTCTTTGAGGTAACTGGTTTCCAGATGTTTGCCTTTGAAGACAATTTTAATCATTCTCTTTTGCTTTTCTCTCTATAATTCCAATTTTTTTTTTTTTTTTTTTTGGTACTGGGGATCGAACTTGGGTCCTTGCGCTTGCAAGGCAGGCCACGGAACCACTGAGCTAAATCCCTGGCCCATATAATTCCAATTTTTGATGTTGTCTTTTGATCTTTCTTGACAGACTTACTAAGTTTGTGGCTATTTTATACAGTTCTTTGAAGGAGCTTGTCTTTTGACCAAGTCTATTACTTTTACTTTTTTACTTCATTATTTATGTCTTAAAGAATATTTTTACAAACATGTACTAATAAAACTTCAATTTAAAAAATATTTAATCATTGTTTGAATTTTTTCTCTACTTCTTTGAGTAGAATCCTTAAACAAGAAACAATAAAAATAAATGCATTTCTTTGAAAAAACATTTTACGACTATGTATTTCTACTAAAATATTTTGATTACATTTCAAAACTTGATTATTGTGTATTTATCATATTTTTCTATTAGCCTGTAAATTCATTTAAAATATGCTTTTATATATATTTTTCTAAAAAATAATTCTCTAGTTAAATTTCCAAGTGCTGAAAAAGGGCTGGAGGAAATGGGTATCTTTATGTGGTTAATTCTAGTTTTGTTCTACTTTAACTAAGGGTTAGGGCCCGTGTCTCTTCTTTTTTAATTCCTCCAGATTTTCTAATTGTAAACACTCCAAGGGATTTGTAAAACAGTTTTTTGGGCCACAGGGTAACAGTCTGTGAAATTTAAACAAGTTTGTGTTATTCACATATTTATACTTTTTCTAATTTTTTAGAAATTATTTTTGAAATACTTTTTCAAATTTTTGAAATTTCTGTGCAATTCTACTAGTTACCCATTAGCTTGAAATTCATTTCCTTTCTGTTTAAAACTAGTAAGGTCAGTTCATTTTGCTTGTATTTTAGGAATCTAACCAGTATATCCTAATCTTGAGCTCTTTACTTCTTTGGCTTTAATACTTTCCTCAGTACTTTTCTCAAAAGGGAAATAGGCGATTATATATTGTTTCTTTACACTATGACAAATATGCTTCAGAATATAATTATTTCCTCCTCTATCATTTACAAATCTCATGCTATTACATTCTGCAGATTTTTATTTCTTGCAATTCTATGGGTCAAGCAGTGGTTCTTCTGATCTGGGCTAGCTTGGCTAATCTGTTTTCAGCCGGTTGTTTGGTCAGAGCTGGATGTTCTGGAATGGTCTTGTTCACCTATCTGGTGGATCTCATGAATGTCAGCTATCCCAAATGGTCTCTACTTTCTTTTCATGGCTGTAAAAGGGTTCTCAGGGACAAAAGAGGGCAAGTCTCTTTTTCAATCCTATGTTCAGATTAAATTTGCTAACATCTGCCCTGCCCCACAGGTTAAAACCACCAAACCACACAGCCACACTCATATTACAAGGAGGAAATAACAGGCTTGCCTTTTTTTTCCCTGTTTCCCAGTGCTGGGTACTGAACCCAGGCCATGCACGCGTCTCTGATCCCTAGTCCCCAGAGTTCATCTCTTGATAGGAGGAACTAAAGTCATGGTGAAAAGGGGTATAGGTATAGGGATGGAAATAATTTATGGCCTTTTTGTTGTAGTCTTTTCTTATGTTATGATTTATTGTGGTAAAATACACATAATATAAAATTTACCATTGGTAACATCTAGTACATTCACAAAACTGTGCCACCATCATCACTATTTCATTCCAGAACACTTTCATTACCCCAGTTAAAATTTTTCATTATCCGAAGATTAAAAATATCCCTAAGATATGTCTAAGGGAATAAAATCTTAGTTTAATAAGCAGGCTTGGAACTCAGTGTAACTAAATCTGAAAGCCAACTTTTCTTTAGGATGTATTTGAGAGGGTAAGAACTGTTTATCCATTTGATTAAATTTTTTAAAAAATAGAAGATCATGTTTTCTCTCTCTCAAATACATCCTTTTCTATTTTTAAGTTCCCTACGACTAAAAAGGCCATTTCTTACATTAAATTAGCCCTCAGAAGCTATTCATTTTGGCTGCATTGACTTTTTATTCCCCAAACTACTGGACTTCCCCAAACTTTAGTCTTTTGTTCAGATAAATTCAGTCAGCTTCTATGAGTTCCACTAGCAATTGTGGAAGTCAATTTGCTGGGAATTTCTGGGCAAGAGAAAATTGAAAGGTAGTGAAAATTAAGATAGGAGTTTTCCAACTGGCCTTTGGGGCTACACAAAAAGCAGGTAGAAGCAGTTTCACAGTTCTTCAGGCAATGCACTTGGCTCAACTACTCTGAGATGCTGTATTTATCCTAGGCCTAGCCACAGGACCATACTCCTTTCTTGGCTGCTGAGCTATCATCCTCCCTTGCCCAGTGTAAACAATGACGACAGAAAGTATCCAGAGGCAAAACTCCAGAATATTCTCAGAAGCCCAAAGCCTAAGGTGGGCTCAGCACAAACTTATTCCAGGCTGTGTACTATACTTTATCCCATCACATCTACTCTCTGTTTTTTATCCACTTTTCTTTGTAGATTAGTTCAGTAGGAAATTTAGAGTGCTAGGGAATTGGGAAAATATACATAACCCATCATCTTCCAAAAATTTCTTTAAAATTATTCCTTCCTTTATATACATTGTATGAGAATATTTATGAAGGGAAAATCAAATATCTGAAATATAAAGCTTAGTGATGAACCCCAAACTACAGCCCAGAGAGACAAAGTCACCTCCCAGATTGTCTCAGTTACCTAGATGGGGTAAAGGACTGGCCTTCAAGGACCTCATACACTCAGAGAAGGGGCTTTTGAAAGAGGAATGGACAATGGGGGCACTACAGCTGACTTGCTGTTAGGAAGTGGGACCTGGCTGGAAGAGGTGGCCATTGGAAGCACGACCTGGAAAGATGTTCCTATTTCCCTCTCTGGATCCTGCCTTTGCTCTCTGCTTCACAGAACATGAGGGGCTTTCCTCCACTGAGGCCCCTCCACCATGCTATTTTCTTATTTAAACACACTGAACATAGACTGAAAGTTTTAAAGCTGTGAGCCAAATTAAACCTCTATGTAGCCTGTGTGGCTGGGGATTGGGTCCCAGCAACAAGAAAGTGACTAAGATGTATGGTGATGTTTCACAAAGTTGACCCATGGCTACCTTTTAAAATTACTTCAGTATGTTCACATGCATAGCTGTCCCATCTAGTCCAATTCCTTTTCTGAATACTAGAAAAAGTCTCATTTTTACCCTTTTGGCTGTTTAATTCTTCTCTGAAATTCTTTCCTTCCTTTTCACTGCCTTCCAAGTTCTCTCTCTCTGTGCTCAAAAGTGAGAGTGTGCACAGGACAGAGTACAGCATGCAAAGCAGAGGGACAGGAGGCTCGCAAAGTTCTCAAGTTTCTCTAGGTCCCTTGGATCAGCCTGTGCCTCTGTGTCAACACTCCTCAACTTGCCGTTGGGTAAAAAATCTTAGCCTTGACTAGATCCCCAGGCCTCTCTTATTTCCTTGATTCCACTTTTCTTTCCTCCTTGCTTTTCTAGTGTTCCAATCTTCTTCCCTTTTCTTTAAGCCCTGTAAGAGTAGGAAAATGTAATTACAAAGATCTGGATGTTCATTCATTGCCATTAAGGATCATCTCACAGTGGAAAGAGTACCACACTTCAGAAAATTCTGACAGACTTTCCCTGCGTCTCTCATCATCACATAAAACATACTTAGTTTATTAATAGCTTCAAAATGGAGGTCTATATCATTTCCTTGATTACCATCTTAATTTATAACCAAGAATTATGTTTTCTAGTGCAAAATAGCATATTTGATAATGTGGAAAGGCAGCCAAGTACAGTATGATTTGATTATGTGAATTCTAATCCCAGCTCCTTCATGTGCTGGAGGTATTACATGACCGTAGGCAGGTACATATATGACCTCAGGCTTTTTTTTTAAATTAGCAACAGACCTTAGCATATCACAAGTACTTGGATAAAAGCATGTTTATCATACAACATATCATCAATAGATGCAATCTGTATGTCTTCCCCTTGATACATAAAAACTCATTTAAAAGGCCATTCTACATTTTGAAGAATGTTGATACAATATTTATTGCATTTGATGCTGCCCAGGCAAATATAAATCTAAGTCACTCTTAAAAGTTACTCCTAGAAAATGTTCTAGTGGACAAAGTCTTTAAGATTAAGTGAGGATATTTATCTCCATGTTTTTTTTTTTAAATAAACAATGAGGATTTTTAAAAAGTACCAGAAAGTTGATATTTCTTACCAAGACAATTTGAAGCATCAACTTGTTCTTTCAAAAAATCAACACACATTTTCTTCACAGGTTCAATCTGATACTGGTTTGCTGCATCTAACAAAGACTGAACGTTGTTGCTATTCACAGAAATTCTGCAAATAAATTAAAGTGAATTTTAATGTCCTCAAATTTTTATTATTTAAAAAATTATTGTAGATGGGCTGGGGATTTAGCTCAGTGGTTCGGTGGCCTGTCTTGCAAGCGCAAGGACACGAGTTCAATCCCCAGTACCCGAAAAAAAAAAAAAAAATTATTGTAGAATGTACTCTCACATGGTACAAGACTCTCCAATTCCATCCTTGTAGTGTTTTGCTCTGAAGAATCTGCAGCACACCAATTTGTTATAACAATGCTTTGCTACCATAGCCCACTCCTCTAAAAGAGAAATTAGTTTTCTAAACTTACCTAGCAGTATAAGCAAATTCCACAAGTTGTTCAATAATATCTGGTTCAGCATCTTTGAGTTCTACTTCAAAAGACTTCGATTCAAGCATGTTAGCTAAAATGAAGAAGAGAAACAGAAATGGCATCAGCAGCACCCTGAATGAGTTTAACTGAGGAACCAGAATAGTCCAGGGCATGTTAAATATGTAGACTAGATTTAATTTCTCCCTATTCCTAAAATAGTTTAGCAGTATTCTTAAACTGTTATGAGCAAACTAGTTGATATAGCTGGAATAAACCTATGAGAACAATGATAATCATGTAGTCATCTACTGCTTGCCAGGCTTTCATATAGGTAGAACACCAAAGGGAAAACTGGAGGCATATACAGTATTAAATTTGATTAAGACCATAAAACTATACTAAACAGAAGAACCAGGACTGGGACTCAGTTCTCAACTCCAAATATAAGGTTCTTTTCACTACAATAGCTATATTTTTCCCTTTGCCTTCTTTTAATATAACCTGCTAGCTATACTATCATGAAATATATCTGCTCCTCTGCCTTTCTACTTGAGGTTAGGAAGGAAAAAAAACATGGGTAGGGTGGTGTTAGTAGAAGCTATATTTTCATCACCAAAGACATTGAGCCCTTAGTGCTAATGAAAGGACATCTTTTTCCCTCTGACCAGTCATCACTTGACTACTTTGCTCTTCTACAGCTTTAAATGCTAAAGGAAAAATGACAAATATTAGATCTCATCTATTTCTCATAGAGAAAAATAAGGTTTTACCTTACAATACTTACTTGTGAACATTAAGTTAAAAAAATGACTGGCTGCAGCAAGGACAACACGATGAGCAGGTATCTTTCTTTCCTGGACCATGAGGATCACATCACATAGTGTTTTCTAATGAAAAAATACATAACATTAGAAGGGGCATACTAGGCCTACCTTACAATGCATAAACAGGTCTTACCAAATGCATTAACTCTATTTTCCACTTAAATCCATTCTTTTTCTAGCACAGAATTTGTTTATGTAAGATACATTTAGAAAGTATTTAGAGAGTTGCTATCAAGTAGTACCAAAATTTGGCACCGAGCTTCCCAACAGTAAAAAGGAAAAAAAAAAATTTCTCCATAATCAGTAACAAAGTTTACTAATCCCCCAAGGATTTTTTTTCCTGACACAAATCCCAAGGTATTTCTTAGAGTGTGTTATTCTGCAGGAAATTAAATGACATAACGGCAATGCCTTGACAATTTTTCAAACACAGCAAACTTTTTATATGATTTTTCCCAGTTATCTCAGATAAACTGCAGAGCAGAAACTGTATCTCATAAGAAAGTAGCCCTCATAGATCTAACCTGAAATAAAATAGTGCAGATACACAGAGCAGATGAACCAAATGTACCTTCAGCAATCTTTCCTTAAGTAATTCTTCTCTCAAGCACACTTTTGGTAGAAACTGGATAGGAGCCAGTTTTAAATTTTGATCTCTGACCATAGCCAAAATGCTATCCTCACGGACTGCTGGGAAAAGGGAGATCTAGAGTAAGCAATTACAATGTTGGAAAAAAAAATGAACTATTTTTTTAAAGTTAAGATTTACTATGGATTGAACTAGGACCTTGCACTTGCCAGGCAAGCACAGTGCCACTGAGCTACATAATTACTATAAATTTTATAGATGATTTTCAAGGAAAAATAAATGTCCTTTTCAAAAATCAAATAAAATTTCAATTTCTTAATGGAGCTAAAGTAACAACCTACAGGTTGGGCAGGTACAGAAACTTCAGCACCCTCAATGTATTAAGTACTCTTCTAGGTACAGGAATATGAGGGTATCAATATACTCAAAGTAAAAACCAAAAACCTCTCTGTTACATATGTGAATAATGGCTTGGTAGTTTTTCTGCAAATAAGCATTTTGCTAAAATATCGAAATATTTTACTTAAGTCGTTGCCATTTCTTATTTTTGTGAATAAAATCCAATTAAGATGGTAATGCTTACAGTAAGAAAGGAAGCAGGCCTGCAAGTGACAAGCTAAAAGATACATAAAATATCACTTTTACAGCTTATTTGAAGATTAAAAAAAAAAAAGGTCAATACGTTAGGGCAGCGATAGTGAACCTTTTGGAGCTTTCAATGATAAACAGCCAGCTGCAGCGTGCATGCTGTGGGTTTGCCACCACTGGTTTAGGGCTAGAGATTATATACAGACTGCTAATAGCTAACAACTACATGTACAGTTGCTAGTAAAACCTCCACAGTATGTTGTTTTTAAACTTTTATTTCTTTTAAATTGAGAAAGGGTACATAGTAGGCTCTCAGATTATTTTGTCATATAGCACACCAAAGAATATAACCGAGTTAACTATTTGGTTATCACCAAAACAAGCTAATCAGTTTTTTTTTTTTTTTTTTGTGATACCAGGGATCGAACTCAGGTTCTTGTGCTTACAAGGCAGGCGGCAGAACCACTGAACCAAATCCCTGGCCCAAGCTAATAAATTTTTTAAGAAACACCTGGGCCTAGGGATGGTACAAAGGTAGCTGCAGGAACTGGAAAGGGAAAATGGATAGAGTAACAAGCAAATCAGAGCATACCACATCACAGAATTCTTAAATTCTTATAGGGGAGGAATCTACAGCTACTGAGGGGAACTTCCAGAAAACACGGGGCTCAACCGAAACAGAGCAAAAACATTTTCAAGGCATACTACGAAATCAGGGATTTATAAGTTAAATGAATTTACACACATTCAAGAATTTGGAGAAATTGATATCTTTATATGGCAACTGAATTTTGGTCTAATATGAATCTGATATAATAATTTTGGTCTAATATGAATGTTGTATGTGAGTGGGGGTGAAGTGGAGAGATCATCTGTGTCCAAATGGTACATTTATTTGCACATAGGTACTAGAATTGACTAATAGGTTTTGAGAAGGGATGAGACTGACCTACAAAGAGTGGTTCTCTGCCCTGCTAATTAGCTAAGGAAGAAGTATATCCAGACAATGAGAAGACAGAAACCCAGGTAATTTGCAGAATAAAACAGGCACGAAGTTCTAGGTAAGTTGAAGAGTTAGAAATTTTTTAAAACCCTAAGCTTGAATAATATATGTTTACTGGTTTAACATAAGCAAAATTACTTTGCAATTCTTCTGTTCATGTCTCTCTATATTTGTTGTATCTTTGCATTTAAAAAGTTCTCAGCTTTTTGAATCTTCAGTCTCTTGTAAAAGGCACAGACTTTGTGAGTGCTATGGTTTGAACGTCCCCTCCAAATCTTCTGTTGAAATTTAATTGCTACTGTGATGGTATTAAGAGGTGGAAAATTTAAGACATGATTAGGTCATGAGTGCTCTCCCCTTATGAGTGGATTAATTCTCAATAATCTTTGGCTGTGAATTTGATTGGCTTGAGAGATGCCCAGGAGATCAGCAAAACACATTTCTAGGTGTTTGGGTGTATCATGGGGACCCCTTGGAGACTACTGTCTGCTCTCCTGTCTCTTCTCTAGCTCTTCCCCTGCTCTCTTGCTTCCAAATGCCACGGCTGAGCAGCTTTCCTCTGCCATGTCCTTCTGCTATGTTTCCGCCTTAGAGCCAGTCTACTATGCACAGAAATCTCTGAAACCATGAACTAAAATAAACCCTACCTGTCTTTTAAGTTGTGTATGTCAAGTGTTTTGTCCCAGCAATGGAAAGCTGACTAATACAGAAAACTGGCACCAGGAGTGGGGCTGCCCTTGCCCTCTGAAGCCCACATCTTGCCACCAGATGCCAGACATGGAGCACAGGGCTGAATATCTGCCCTGCTAAGTTTCAGTCTTGTTTTGGTTTCTTTCCATTCTTCCTGTTGGAATGGAAATGCTTACCCTGTGTCATTGTATCCTGGGAACATGTTACTTTCTTTTTTATTTTTACAGGGGCCCACAGCTAGAGTTTGCCTCCGTCTCAGAGAGACTTTGGATTTGAACTTTTGAGACTTTGTCGAAAGACTTTGTATGCAGGACAGTTATACCATGTTAGGTAGAATTATTACCTTGTTATCTGTATTTGGACATTAAGCAGGGTTTACGGAGATATATTTGGGTGTCAAGTTGACAAAGGGAGGACCTGTGATGAATCATCTTGATTATGAACTTGATTGGTTTGAGGTACCTAGGAGGTTAGTAAAGCACACCAAGTATGTCTGGGTGTTCTGGGGACATGACTTGGGGACTACATCTGTTTCCTTGTCCTTTCCTCTCTGTTTCTTACCCTGCTCTCTGCTTCCCAGATGCCTTGAGTTGAGGATCCTTCATCTACCACATGCTTCACCACGTTCCTGCCTTGGAGCCAGCCAACCATGGACTGAACTTCTGAAACAGAGACCCCAAAACAAACCCACCTCCTTTACACTGTAGATGTCAGGTATTTTGTCACAGCAAAGGAAAGCTATAATGCTGTTAGAGCAGGAATATATTGTAGAAGTGGGTTCCTGAGAAAAAGAAGGAGTTTGGCTACATTTCCTGTCTCGTATGCATGCCTCTTGCCTCTCACCCTGGGATAATACAACACAAAAGACCCGGACTTCCGGCCTGCAGAACCATGAACCAAATAAATTTCTATTATTTATAAACTAACCAGTCTCTGGTATTGTTACAGGAGCAGAAAACAGACTAGACAGTGACTTAGTCACTAATATCATTTTTTAGTAGGTTTTAGTTTATTTCTTATACATCTGATAACATGTTCATCTTACATATTTTTTATGCTATGTATTACATTGCATTTTTGTCTGTTTTCTGTAACTGCTAGTTAGTTGCTAATTTTAATCCTTTAATATTTTTTTCTCCTTTATAAACTTACACATCTGGAATCCTTTATAAACTTACACATCTGGGCATGGTGGTATAGGTCTGTACCTAGCACTTGGGAGGCTGAGGCAGGAGGATTCCTACAAGTTGAGACCACCCTGTGCTATACAATAAGTTCAAGGCCAGCCTGAACTACACAGTTGAGACCCTTTAAAAAAAAAACAAAAAAAAACAAAAGCAAACTAAGAAATGTGAGGACTTTTCACTAAGCGATAATAAAGATACCATTTAAAAAATGTGGAAAGAAGCTGGAACACATAGGATATTTAGGGCACCGAACTATTCTGTACTACACTGTAATCATGGCTATGTATTATCACTCAAGTGTCAAAGTTCATAACATGTACAAAGAGTAGACACTAATGTAATCTGTGGACTTTAGTTAACACAGATTCACCAGTTTTAACAAATGTACATTAATGCAAGGTAACTGTTTAACTGTAGGCAAAGTGAGAGAAAAATGGAAACAGTACTTCCTATTCAATTTTTCTAAAAACCTAAAAGTGCTCTAAAACGTCTTATTAATTTTTTAAAATGTAGTAGGAAGGCTGGGGATTTAGCTCAGTGGCACCATGCCTGCCTTGCAAGTGCAAGGTCCTGAATTTGATCCCTGGTACAAAAAAACTCCCCCAAAACAAAAAAACAAACACAAAACCCCCCACAGAATTAGGTGATTAGTTAACTGAAGAAAAATGGTACTGAGATAACCATTTAGGGAAAACATTAGATTCTTCACTCCTAACGCACTTTTTCCTCCTCTGGGAAGGTAAGCACTAGGAAGGAGGTTTCGGTCTTTTTCCACATGTGGGACAGTGACTACAGGATGAGCAATAGCGTGATAGAGCTCATCAAATGCACAACCAGGCCTCCTTTCTAGAAGCGGGTCCAAAAACTGGACACAGCCCATTCAGGAGGGCTTGCTCCTTAGCATAGGGAAGAGTGTTTCTGTTCATTGGCTGCTGTTCCTCAACCTGAGTGGCTAAGTTTAGTTCAGGGGACAAAGAACAAGAAGCCCAATTTTATACTCAGGTAA